TTTTTAAAAACTGAAAAATTGCATTTTAAAACACCGATGATCAAAAGCTTAAACACAGGAACTTATCTAAACTGGTATTCCCTGGCAAATGCCTGTGTATGTATACTACATTACATTTTCAGGTGGATTGCCACATATTAATTATGGCATATCTTAAACAATCTTGCATTATAAAAGAGGCAAAAAAAATCTACTACTGTTGCGTTATGATAAACATGATAATTAAGCACTGTAACAGGCCAGACTACCTAGACAGGCTGTGAAATCCCTCTTCACAGGAGATTTTAGAGATGTTAGACAGACATCATTATCTGTACTTACACAACCAGGCCATGGAGGAAACAGAGAAACAACTTCCAGCCTTATGCTTCTGTAAACTTATGCTTCAGAAAAAAAAAAAAAAAAAAAAGGAAAAAACCCCAAAAAACACTACACCACCAAAAATCACAAACAGGTAAAAAACAACCAACCAAAAAAAAGCCCACCAAAACCCCCAAAACAAAACACCATAAAATCCACACTGTAGAAAATCAGTTTGCCTATTGAAATGGTAGTGTTTTGAGGAACAATTCCTGTATTTGACTTATTCTTAAATTCAAAATCAAGCAGTGAGTAGCTCCACTATGTCTACAATCTCAATGAAATTAATAGTTACTGCCTGCAAGCTATGCACAGATTCCAGTCCTACCCAACCTAAATCATCACCCAGCCTGTTTTATTCAGGGCATAAACATTTTGTTCCAAATGAAACTCTATACTCAGCTCACAGTCCTGGCTATAAAGTTATATTCTGCCCAGAAAATGACAGCACATATTCATAGCATAGCCAGACTGAGTCCAAACACAATGCAGCTCCAGCACCAGGCACTCTGTTGCTAGGAATAAAACATTGCTGAAGAACCCAATACAAATTTCTTGTCTCCTCAGTGAGAAAGACAGAGGAAAATGGTATTTACCAAGGAAACAATGCCACTGACTATACAAACGACTGATAAATACCTAATAAAATATAAAAATGGGAGCAACAATGCAGAACTCAACAAATATTTTTTTACAGAAATTTGTAGTAAGTGCTAGGGAGATGCCATCAAAATAACCACTTCAACAAACTTCACTGTAAGAAAATTTTAAGAAATCCAGTTATGCTTCTCTCTGTCCAGGGTGAAGTGAGGTTGGCCTGCCTTCATCAGAGAAGGACAGGTGGACAATTGAGCCAACTTTTTATACATGGTGCCTTTGAGGGTAAAACCATTCACACTGGAGCAAAATATCTGTGTAATGTCTCAGGGCTTCAAATTTGAGTTCCTTGGCCACCAGATGAGCACAGTTTCCATCTCCTCACAGGCTGTGCCAGCAGTGCACAGCGCAGTGTCCCAGTACTGAAGTCTGCTTGGGAACTGGAAGCGCCTGAGTCAAAATATCACAGAGGCTCACACAGGCCGATTCACCTAAAGGAGAAAAGGCTCTTCCCAGCAGGGTGAACAGCTTGCAGAGCTACACAATTTCTTTACACAAGCCCACAGCCCATGAAGGCCCAGCCTGGTGCCCAGGCTGCACTTGTGCTGAGGTTATCCTTCAGGCACCTCAAGCCAACAGCCTGGCTTCCATTTCCCAGGCTCAGGTTTCTGAGACGACTCCCAACACAAACAGAAAAATAAACAGAATTTTTAGGTTACATTTGAAAAAAAACATAAACAATGGGTGTAGCTCTTGTAAATAAGGAGAAATCAGGGTGCAGATAAGTTTAAAAAAGCCCCACTGTTTAATACGCAAGATACACAGGGTCAGTTACTAATTTGAAACACTGAATTAGAAGAACTAAGTTGAATATCCAAAGGAGATTATTCCTCATTTCATCCAATTCACATTTCAGACAAATTATGTAGAGATACTAAAGTAACTTAAACGAGCAAGGCAGAATTAGATAAAGATACTTCAGTGCACTAATTTTAATTAATAATTAAATTTTCATTAAAAAAAAAATCAATCTCTATCCAATTCCTTCCTTGCTTTAATTTTTGAAGCTCTGTTGAACTACACAGATACAGAATTATGAAAATACTCCCAAAGATAAAAGGATATTCTGTTTGCTTTAATTTTCACCTTATACTTTCTGCAAATAATTTACACATTAGACAATGGAATGCTGTCTACCCTGGACATGCATGCAGAAGGAAAAGTGGTTCAGTATTGCATATAACAGAACGTAAGCAAGTGAAATGAGGAAAGATTATATCTTTAATATCTGGTCCATACGAACACCCAAACAAAATTCTTTTGCAATACTGGGGAACAGCTCAAAGGTTCACCAACCACCTCTTCAGGCACAAACCCTCATGATGAACACACTAGAATCCTCTACAATATAAAGACATATTTTTATATGTCTCCCAGTTCTAAACAAAAGATTCAGAAATAACTATTTAAAAGAATTTGAAAAATAAAGAACAAAATGTTGCAAACCATTTTTGTCCAATACTGCTTTTTAAACCTCTACCCAAGACTGTTGTCAGTAAAATGTCCTCACTAAAGCATTTCTCTTTACAAAGACTAATACATTATTTAAACGCAGACTTATCAGATAGCTGTTAAGATCTGTATTTTAAAGAGGAAACAGTAATATTTTCCTCCTAATAATCAGCAAATATTTCTGCATCTAGAGCTAGTTCTTTATTATATCTTCAATTAGAAAGGGGAAGAACCACCTTCTTGCTTCATTCATATTTCAGATTATGAGTGGAACTATCATCTACAACCTCACGGTAAGATTTTTTGTGTCATCTTCTTTATTCATTGTTTTATCTTCCCTTTCCTGTCCATACTAAGCCCAGCTCTTTGTGGAGCTCTCCCCAGAGAAGTCCAGATATTCTCCTCCAGACAGAAACTTAAAAACCTGTTATCAAAATACTTTCCCTCTGATGTCATGATTTTGCATTTATAGGCACTCAATTCTATACACTGCTGAGATATAGTATCTGTTCACTAATCAGAAGAAAGAATTAATAGGGGTTTCAAAGCTACAAAGGCAGCATTTTCACTCTGATGGGAGCATACAGTTCATACTTTGGGGGAGGGGAAGAGAAGAAAGAGTGTTGGCTCTTTCATGAACATAAAAGGGCAGAATTACACATTAGTGTAGCTTCCCCATGTATAGACATTTTTTTCTGAAATGCAGTGTAAACTTAAAATCAGCCATTAGCTTCCTTAACTAAAGCTCAAATCATCCATGTAATTACTTTTACAGAGGATTATGACCAAGTTTTTTTTAAATGTGAATTGTTAAAATTTCACAATTAAGAAATAAATCACAATGGGAAAATAGGTTCCTATTCACAAACCAACCGACCAAGCTGGCATCGTTAACACCCTTTTAACAAGGCAGAACTGAAATACTGGGAATGCTGCTGCCAGGTCAGAACTGAAGTGAATTGGGTAAAGCGTGCAAATGGGCTCTTACAGCACCTGCCCAGCCCTTGGCCTGCTGCAAATCTGTGCTTGCTCCTTCAGTAGCCCTTCTTCATCAGGGCACAGAAATGACCAACTCACCGAAGTTTCCACAAAGGCAAAAATAAAGCCTACACTTTATAAAAAAATTCATTGGAAAAAAAAGTTGAGATGCTGATGCTGAGCATTCTTGATTCATATGTGCTTTAATACCAAGATTTTTGACCTTCAGAAGTCCCTTCTCCCAGGAAAAAAAAAAGGGGTATAAACCAAAAACACTCCTCAGAAACGACCACAGAGAGACGCTGCAGACATCCATCTAAAATAATGGCAGTCAAAGGTCAGGATGATATAGGGAACATCGAGCTTTTCATTTATGAATCTTCCTGAAAGAGACCTCTTAGTAAGCAGAAGCAAGAAAATCAGGGACTATCCAGTCAGAGAAAACTGCCTAAACATGTGTCATTTACAGGATTTTCCTAATAATGGCACCAAGTATCTTCAACTTTGACAAATTAATTCTAAGACCTCACTGAAATATAACATGGAAACCACCATGCTTGTTGGGTCACATTCAGCAATTTTCCTCTGAAGATTCGCTTATGAACTATATCCAGAAGATTACAAAATATCAGGAAGAAAAGCAAGCACTGCAGATTGCATCCCGATCAGTAAAACGACAGAAAGTCGTAGGAGTCTTCCAAAAGTGCTGGAAAAAGCATACTGCAAGAACAATTGGTATTCCTGCCTAACAAAGCTGGGTTACACTCGAGGGCTCCAACATGTTAATCTGTCACCGTGACAGAAAAGCAAAGGATGCCAGACCAACATACATCTCTTTTCCAACACCCTGCATATCTAACACTGAGCTTCCGAACACAATTAAAAATAGGACTACAGTATCCAAATATACGAGTAAGGATGCTCTTAGCATTTCTGCTTCCAACTTCGTCATAAAAAAAGAGTACCCTTCAAGACCTTTCAGCATTCCTTAATAGCGTTTTTTTTGTGTTCTATAATCACAAGTGACAAAAGAAATAGCTCCATATTTGCTTCAGATCTCTCCAGGGAAAAAAAAAAATACACATTACAGTAATTCTGTTACAAAACTACAGCACATGTGTAAGGCCCCGAGAAGCACCGATGCTGATAAAATTAAAAATGGCTGTGCCCGAAGATCCCACAGCGAAACAGGCACAGCTCTGCTGACGATTAAAATATATATTAAAAATTCCTGCATTACCTTACAAAGGGCGAGGTATGCAAAACAAAAAGATTATATATATTTCCAAAACTGAAGTAAGTTATTAGACAAGAGATGCAGATCTAAGCAAAGCATTCTTACTGAGTGCAGGTCGAGCTCATTTACACAATAAAGCAGATTTTATTCCCCGAGACACTTAACGTATCACGATTTCAAAACTTTTATCAGGCTTCGCCGCTGAAATAGATGCCCAGCACTTTGTAAGGAGGCACCGATGAGCCCAAATACCAGCGGACCCCACCCCCTTCCCGCTGCCAAAATGGCCAGTTCGTTCCACCCAGTGGCTACTCACCAGCCGCAGTGCCGAGCAGCAGGGTGGCACTGGAGAGCAGGAGCACCAGCTCAAGGTGCTGCAGTGAGGCAGGCATACCTGGGCAAGCCACGGTTCGAGCCGCCAGCAGAAAAAAAAAAGGGGGTTTAAAAAAAAAAAAAAAAAGCCAAACCCCGAAGAGAGGAAATTCCTCTTGCTTTCGCACAGCCTTCCTTAACTCTCTCGGTTTACAATCCCGTCTGGAAGGGCAAATGGCAGATGAGAGGAGCCGTCTTCGCTCTTACTCCATTACAGCCGCCTGCCTTCATGCCTCGGGAGCCGGCAGCGCTCAGCGGACACGGGGGAAGCGCCTGGCTCTGCCTCCCAGCCCCGCGGCATCTCCCCCCCGGGGAGGACGGCGGCACGCTCCCGACCCCGCTGGGAACCGGGCTATTTCCCACGCAGCTTCACGACATCGAAGAAAGCGCCCGGTTGGGAAGGGAACATATCCAGACGCGCCCACAGCGGTGTCAGTCAGCGCGGGCCCTGCGGGCTGGCCGGGGCACGGCGAGCGAGCTAGGCGCTCACGGCGGCGGCGCGTCCCATCCCGGCAAAGGTCTCTGTCCTCCGGCCGCCCCTCCTCGCTGCCTCACGCTCCGGGGAAGGCGGCGGCGAGGCCCCCTGTTCTCACGGCGAGGGCTGCGGCTGCATCCCGGCCCATCTGCCTCCCGCGCCGGGCGGGCTCCTCCGCGCTGCCCCGGCCCCCGCCGCAGCACCGTCACCACCCCCGGCCACCCCGACAAAGGTGGGGCCCGGGGCGGCGAGGCCCCTCCTCGGCGGCTCCAGCTGCGAGCGCACCCGGCTGCTCTCCGCGGGCGAAGGCCCTTCCCGTCCTCCGCCTCCCGCCCCGAGTTTCCACAGCGCCGGGCAGCCTAGCCCGGCCTCCTCACGCCGGTCTCCGCTCAGCCCCTCCGCGGTGCCAGCGCCTTCCTCCCCCCGCGCCGGGCTCGCCGGCGAGGGGCCGCTCCGCCTCCTTCCCCTGCCCGCCGCCGGCTGCGGGCGGGAGCCGAGCGAGGGCCGAAGCTCCGCCGCCCGCGCCCCCTCTCGCCCGCCCGCCCCAACAGCACGGGCGGCTCCAGACACAAAGGGGAGTCGCTGCAGCCGCCGGCCCGGGCGCCCGTCCCGCCGCACCGCCCCCGCCGCCCGGCTCCGCCCCGCACCATAGAGGTGGCTCCAGGTAGGCAGAGCGGGGCCGCCGGGCGGAGCTCCGCCGGCTGAGGGAGGGGGCGCGGGGCCGAGGGCACCGCCGCGGGCGGGAGCTGCGGGCGAGGGGCGGCTCTGAGAGAACGGGAAGGCCCCGCTAGACCTTCCTGGGAAGGCCGCGAACGGCCCCCCCACCCCATGCAGGCTGCCTGTGAGAGAGGCTGTCAGCAGGGAGGCGTGAGCTCAGGATTCACAAAAAACGCTGTAACAACAAGAAAAAAATGTTTGGCAGTCTCCGAGATTGCGTCATGTTTGAGCTCGGGGGCCTGCCTGTCAGACACCCGGAGCTTCTGCCTCGTCCTCGGGTTCAAGCCCCCGTTATCTCTGTCCCTGTGAGCTCCCCAGGAGCGCTGGCCACAGCACCTACTGCTCTCCTGCGGTGAGCCCAGGCAAGTCACGGAAACGCAGATCCCTTAGGTTGCAACAGACCTCTGAGATCATCGAATCCAACCTGTGACCGATCGCCACCCTGTCAGCTAAGTGCCATCCAGCCTTTCCTTAAACACCTCCAGGGATGGTGACTCCACCACCTCCCTGGGCAGCCCATTCTAACAGCTAATCACCCTTTCTCTGAAGAATTTCTTCCTAATGTCCAATCTGAAATCCACTCAGTTTCAGCCATGTGACTCTCTCAAGCAAAACCATTACCTATCTCTTAAATTAAAGATATTTTATGATTTCAAAACAAAGATAAAGTGAGCTCACTCAGCTGTTTGTATGCTTTAACCTTTGCTGTATTGCACAGAACCAGAGAGCTGATGGGAGAGCTGCAACTGGGATGTAGTGTTTGATGTTCTGGCCTAGCAAGGCTCTTTCAAACAAGTTTTACTGGCTGTTGCATAGAAAAAAGGTTCTTAAGAACACCCTGCACGCTGAAGGCACCTTCAAATTTGGGCATCACCAAAGGTTTGATTATGGGAAATGCTGCCCTGTGCCAAAATTCCTATACCAGTTTCAAGGGTGAACTACAAGTTCAGAAATCCAATTCCACACCTCAAAATATTGAATGATACTACATAAAATGGTGTTGTTGCAAGTCAGAGTTACAATTTTAGTGATAATAAAAGTTTTCTGCACAATTCCATTCCTCTTCACAAGCCATAATGGATGAAATAGATGTAATCTGATACTTTGATCATCAAGAGAATTATTAAATAAATTGTACTAGGATATTCTTCATTGTGATGCTTTGGCCAGGGTCATAGTTTGACATTCCTAGGGTCAAGGTGAATTTACACTGATAGTTATAAAGTTGCCTACAATATTTTTACTTCTAATCTATGCAGATCCAACATGGATATGGGTAAGATAAAATAACAATATAATATAACAGTATAACAATATACAATATAATATAACAGTAACAATAAAATATAGAATCACAGATTGTAATTCGTATTGCCACTTTCCAGAACTGCAACCACACGTTAACCACAGTATCCTTCCTGTTATTTGTGAAATATGAATGTCAAGAAATAGCCTTTAGAAGTAACACCAACACCAACTCTCCCCCCTCAACAGCTAGAACAGTTTTACCTCCAAGAGAGGAAAAAACCCCAACACTGAATATTTTTTCTGCAGCACCAAAATCCAATGTTCTTTTCTGGTTCCACAGACACCAAACTATGCCACACACCTTCTGCCCAGCTGCAGCTACCAATAAAAGAAGCAAGATCTACTTTGTTCAGAGAAAACAAGAGGCTTGCCATGTGGGTTGCACAGCACTGCCACTGTTTAGATGGTAAAAGAAAATTACTGTAATTGTTTATGACGTCTATGAAAACCTGCTCAGCCTGAAGTAAATGACAGAAGTCTCACTTGTTTCAATAATTCTAGTTTTGGCTCATTAATTAATACTAGGAGTTCTTCTCCACAAGAAATTGTACAAAAACATATTCTGCCTTAAAGTACTTTTCTTTTTTTCTCTCCAAAAAACGGATTCGTATTTTGTTCTGTGTTTTCCTAAAATGAAGGCGAAAGACATGTCATTGTAAATACAATTATTGAATTATTTCCTTTTAGTTTCACAAAAAGGAAATAATTGTATTAAAAATGACATGTCATTTCCTTCATCCAAACCCGATCAAGAAAACACCCTACTGAAGGGCAGGGGGCTGTGCATCTGCTTTGCTGGAGTTTCTATCAGGCCCTTGGATTAATCTCATACACTTGCAATCACAGCAGTTTGCAAGAATTTCCCCTGCTTCCCCAACCTCTGCTGAGTGCTGCAGGTGTTCAGGACCATGCTGGGTCCCCCCAGCCCTGGTCACAGCCCGGTGCCAGGCGGCAGAGCAGGAGCTGTGGCACCCTGGTGTCCCCGGGGCTGGCAGGGCCCAGGAGGGGCTGGCTCCCTCACAGATGTAGAAAGCAGTCGCTGCTGTCTAAGCACAGAGGCAGCTTCCTTTTCCCACGGTGCTGGGAGGAAACCAGAGATCCAAACTGTCACAGTCAGGCTCGCTCATTGTTATGTGCTTGGACAAGAACATATTTATAATTCTTCCTGTGATATTGTTTTATCTGTAAGCTAGGATTTCGCTCTCCTAATATTCAGCAACACCAAGTAAGACCTACAGAAAAGTAGTCAGGATAATGAAAAATTGCAGAGCTGCAGGACTGTAAATCTGGGGTGCAGGTTCAGGTAAAGATGGGGAGACAAGAGAAAACACATCAAATTTACCAAGATTTAAAATATTCTGACTGAAGGACTGTATTTCCACCAGGAAGAACTCTGACCAATGAAACAACACAACTGAGCTTACTGGTGATAAGACTGTTAAAAACTCTGAGGAGGAAAGGCCTTAGGAAGCAGATGGTCTTTTGCAGCTGTGTTCCCTGTTCTCCCAGCCAGGCAGAGGCAAGGCTGCCCCAGCACGGTCATGGGGCAAGGACGAGGAGGACGGTGGCACAGGAGCCAGGGTCTGTGGCTGGGAGCTGCCCAGGATGAGGGTCAGATACAGCAGGGGACGTGTATCTTGCCCTTGGGTAGGGAGCTCTGAACAGCACAGACACAAACAGCACGTGGGGGCTGCCCTTTGCTTCAGTGAGACACAGAGAGGAGAAATGCAGCTGATAGGAGGCTCAGGAGTGTCCTGCTCTGGCTCAGACTGATGCAGACACAAACATGTTGATATCACTGCACGTAAGAGAAATTAAATGTGTCCTTGTTAGCAGCATCTTCTTTAAACAACACACTCCTTTATTTTTAATTAACTGGAATAAGGGAAACTATTTTCATGCTACCAAGAGAGTATTCCAATCAGTGGAAAATAAGATGAGCAAAGAATGAAGAACACTCAAATGAACTATGAAACAATAGCTTGAGTTTCATTTCTTTTCAGAAAATCCAATGTTCAGGCACTTTAAAAAGATTTCTCAGGGTAGGTTCACTGTTATCCAAGAGTTTTTCAGCGCTGATGCAATATAACTGTTATCATTGTTAGGACTCAGGGGACTGTTCTTTTTGACAGGGCCTTTCATGAAGTCAACAAATCAGTTTAAAACAAGCCATAAATTATATTTGGCTGCCTGTCAGCTTGGCTGGGGTGTTCTCCCAGTGCTGCTGTAAGCGTTGGGGAAAGAATACAACAACACGTCCAGATATTTTGCTTTTAGGAGATATTTTGTTCCTAATTTAAAAAGAAAGCATCTCCCTAGCATTGACTCTGATGCATAAACATATGTTAGAACAGCCATCAAGATTTTTACAGACTTCCCTACAAATAAATGCACCCGTTCTGGATCCTAAGTGATAGCTTAATAAATAATGGACTCAGTACAGATCTCCCCAACGAGTGCCTGCCACTCATTGCTAAACTAGGGAACTGTCAGCAAGATCATCACCCCACTCTTGCTCCTGTATGTGGAGAGAGAGGTGGGTCCTGATAGATGGGATCCAATCCTCCTATAGCTCTCCAGATATTATTAACATCCTGAATTGCAGCCAGAACTCACAGAAAAGACAATAGTGTCTACTTACAGTCTGCTGAGTTAGCAGCTACAGCTTTAGCCAGTGCAGCCAAACAAGAAATCACACACAGACATCATTACCTTTGGAAGTGTCCAGTTCCTTGTTTTATATAGATTTTCCCATCAGTGTCCAATCCTGGCTGCTGCTGCAGAGTGGCATTAACACACCCCATAAGTCCCCTTGGAGTCAGGGCAGGGAAGGTGGCTGTGGGAAGGCCACACTTACAGGGAAGCAGGCACATATTCATAAGGAAAAACAATGGAACCTCTGGAGACTTCAGAAGCAATCTGAACACAGAAGTACCTTCCTCAGTCATGGACATGTTTCCTTGGGATTAGGGAAAGGCACCCTCTCCTTCAGAGCCTTTTTACAAACTACCAGCAGCACTTTCATCTTGTCTGAATTATTGTTGGGTTTTGCTCCTTTTCCGGGGCTTGGTATTACAGGATATTGGGAAAACAGATTCTACAAAGGAGGGACAGAGGGACACCAAGCCTTGACTGAAATCCCAGAGAAGTCCTTTATGGGGTAAAGACTGTTTCTTTCTGTTCTTTCTGACAGGATGGAAAAGCCCTATTCGCAATGGTCAGCCTGTCCTGACAAGATATGACAGTAGCAAAAGCTCCTGTGGCATCACATACCAGACAAGGCTCTCGTGCTCCCAATTCTACCAAAAGCCTTAAGGATAAGGTAAATCAAATTCCCTGCCTCAGAGGGAATCAATTTCCCCTTTAGTCCAGTTAAATAATCTGTGCCAGACATTACTTTTGGCCTTTAGACTCATACAAATCTGTCTGAGGGCTGTTAAGACTTAATTTTTCTTTGTCTCTGAGGCAAAGAAAAGAGCACCTACTGTTGAGCTTTCAAAAAAAAACCCCAAAACATTTATGAGTATGGACTAGTAAATGTTTTCAGACTTGAGTTTTTCTAACTCTACCAGGCTGTTGTGTAATCTACTGCAAGGTGAACCACACTGTGCAGTGAAGTCATGACAGTCTTTGACATCAACATCCTAAATCAGAAGAGAAGTTTTGTTGCAGCTTTGTTTACCTTTTGATAACAGACTCTTAATAAATCGAATACAAAAATTAATTGCACCACTCTTGTGGCAGTCCCCAGAAAGATCTATTTTGATGTTTTGCTTCTTTTTTTGTGCTGGTCTCACATGCCCTGATTTTGGTGTAGCAAGTGGTTTCCTATGGGGAGCCCATAATTGCATGATCAAAGGATCATGTGTGAGGATCAAGACTGGAAACATAAAGCAGGTGGGTGTGGGACAGGTAGGCCTTGAGCATGCAAGGAGAAGGAGGAGGAAGATGCACACTGTGGGATAAACAAAGGAAGTATTTTGTTTCTAAAAGGGTTAGCAGTGAAATAGTTAATCAGCATTTTTACATTTCATAATACATTATATTTCCCTGTGATAATGAACTACCAACAGTGTCGGTAGCAGCTGCTGCCTTGTTTTAGAGATAACACTGCTTAGTCTGTGGAAATCTTATCTCCACTTTGGGGGTGGAGGTGAGAGAAACTTTCATGTTAGCTCTGAGAAGCACCTCCCACTTTGAATTAAGTCTGAAATCATCTGTTAAAGGCCTTTTACAGCTTGTCTGAATCTCTTGGCTTGTTCATCACAACATAAAATGGGAAATTTGCTGCAGGGTTTTTATCCGTTCAAAACATCACTTATTCATTAAATCCAACAATGGACGTAGTCAGAAATAGAAACGTAATGAGCTGTGTCAGAATCATCTTCTGGTCTGCAGCAATGGGTATGTCATCACCACAGACCTGCAGGGTTTCATTCCTGAGAGCTACCTGAGCCTTCTCACACTCACGACAGGCAGCTGGGAATGGAGCTCAGGGAACCTCCAACACTCCAACACTGCTACTGTTACCTTCCTTTGCCTTCTGGTTCTGGGCTGTTGGGACTTTTTTCTTTTCAGTTATTGGTTTTTTAGTTACTCACTACACAGGATAGTTAGCAGTGCAAGTCAGGTTGGTTTCCAAAAGCCACCTTTTCCTTTTTGGTCTTTAATTTCTTGCAGACGGTTTGCAAACAACCTAAAGATATTTCTCCAATCAGCTCAATACTATCAGGAAGCTAATAAAATGCCCTCAGAGAACAAAATGAAAGCTGTGATAGACTTGCACTCAGTTTTCCATGGTAGGGGTCCAGAGGAAGCAGCCTCTGTTTGTGCTCATTGCTGGTCACCCTTGAACTTCACATCAACTTGACAAGTGCCAGGCATTCATCTAAAGGACAGAAGTGGTGTCTACATCATGCATTTGTTCCTTGTTATTTTAAATGACAGTGTGGAGGGAACCCTTTTTGCTCAGACTTTTTAGAACTGTTGTCCTTTGCAATGAGAAAAGAGGCATCAACCATGAGGCCAACAGCAGAGCTTCTTCAGGTTTTGTCTTCTCTTGCAAATGTGAAAAAGAGTAAAAACAGAGTTGAATTGAAGCCCCTTTTAACTCAGATTTTGTTGCCACTGCAAGCACAATGTCAGAGGGCTGACCACTCTCAGATCCACAGCTTGCAGAGAAAGGTGCTGCTGAGTGTGCCTGCCCAGCATTCCTCTCCTGCATGCAGCCAGCTCTGGGAACGTCACCTGGAGCAAGATAAAAATACAATTATTACCTTTTACTAACCAAACAGGAGATTTCTATCCCTTCTGCTTCTGCCTGTAACATGACATCTGTTGCCTGACAATTTTGAGACATTTTTATCTGAGAAGATTGTTCCTTCAGATCAAGAAATGAGTCAGTACCTCTGCACACCCTGCTTGCTTCTCATGGATTGATTTGGAAACATGAACCCAACTAATTGCTTCCCCGAAATATCCATCAGGAGCCCTCTCCTTGAAGTGATACAGGCCAGGACACCAGCTCCAGCCACCAGCATCAGTCCTGCTTGCTGGGGCCTGCAGCTAACATTGCAGGCACAGTTGCTTCCTACCCCTCTGAGTTGAGTAAAATCAATGTCTGAGCAGGGTTTCCCCTCTCTAGCATTTTTGTCAATTTCACTTTTGTATTTATTTACTTTCAACCATCCCCTCAACTTTGGAGAAGTTGCATTTAGCAAAAGGAAAAACTACCAGCCCCATAGCTCAGCTCTCATAAGGGCTGAAGCTCTCACATTCCCAGCAACAGAAGGGTGGAAGGGGTGTGAAATGAGGGCAAAGAGAAGCATGGACCCTTAACGAAATGTTGAACAGAAAGAGGGAGGAAGCTGTAGGCAGGAGAGAGAGGATCTGAAGAGTGAAAGGAGGAGAGAAAATGTTACAGGAGAGGGTTTATGTTTGAATATGGATTTAAATGAAAATGCATTTTGATTGAACAGAAAGGAGGGTGCTAAACTCAGATCTCTGTTATGAGCCACACTGACAGGGACACTGGCTTGGAACTTTCACAGTGCCCATCTGCAGGAGTAGGTCCCTGGAACAGGCTGGCAGATAATCCTCGACTCAGAAGGAAACAGCAAGTCTCAAGTTTCTCTTGGCTTAACCAAAAGCTGTAAAGCATATTCTTCCTGCTCTCCACTAATATTCAGAGCTCCCCTGTGTATTTTGTTGATGAAATCTCTCACCCCAATTCAGGAGATAGCACCATTTGCTAAACATACTCTGCCTTGCTACCAGAAGAGCTTCTGACCTTGTCCTGTCTTCTCCTTAGCATTTGGCAAATAGTTATCTGTACTCACTGTGACCTCCAGCCAGCTGGGTAAAAAGCTCTGGAGCCAAACATGTGCACAAATAATTCCAGGGGCAGCTGTTACTACTGGATTATCTCTTCCTGTGGTTTCTACAGATAGAAATAGTTAATATATGTTGCAGTTTACAGCTCCTTTCCCTTTAGCAGACCAAGAACCATCTTCCTTCAACTCAGGGCCATCAAATCCATCTCAACAAAGAGGGCCTTCAATCTGGTACTCCCCCGTTTTGCCAGATGTATCCTATCGGGTGAAATGGAGCCCACAACAGCCAAAATCACAAATCACAGCCCTGCCATCTTTAGCCAAGGAGGTCTCCATTTAATCACTCTTCTCAAGTTATGTGTAACAGAAGCCATTCTGTGCGTATCCAAGCACAGCAGCCCTCTCTCCAGCCCCTCCAGCCTCCCACACCCCAGACATGAGGTGTTTTTTCACCCTGACGCATTGAGGTCCACGCCTGATCAGAGTTCATTCAACCCGAAGAGCAGCAATGACTCGCTTCCAAAAAATGAGACTATTATGGCTAGAGACCATTATGAAAGCCTGCGTGAAGCTGAGACCAGATGTGTGCTCAGCTCACTCCAAATATTGCTTAGGGCAAAGCCCTGGATTGTTTTGGTTTTGTTTTTTAAACAAAACAGGATTGACAGAATCTCCTCTGTAACAAAAAATGTTTTCTGATGTTTTTCTGCACTGCTGTTGCAGATGTGTGGCTGGGCTGGGAGCTCACACCCACCAACAGTGACCACAGCAGCTCTCAGAAGTGCATGAAGACGTGGAAGGAGCCCTAATGTGATAGGATGGAAGTGATGGCAATGCCAGCCCATTTAAGTTCAGCTCCAAGAATCAGCTTGTGGTCATTGGGACCATGTTATTCTTTCAGTAGGATGTTCTGTATGAGCCCTTGGAAGTGAGAGCGATAAAATGGCTCAGATCACTTTTTGCCTTTACAGCAAACCTTTCATCAGAGGAACCTCAAAGCAACTTGCCAGCAAGAACGGGCACAACCTCACACTGTGCCTGTGAGATAAGCGAAGGATGGAATAGATTAACTGCTTAAAAGCACACAGCAGCTCTGTGGGATGAAGGAAAAATAAGAAAAAAACCTTATATATATACATACACGTTTGAAACCATACAGGGTTTTATGGAGAGGCAGCCTGGAAGGCTGCCAGGATACTGAAATTGCCACCCCTACACAACCACGAATACCATGGAAACCAGTGGGGCACTGGCAGGCAGGAAAGGAAATCAGCTGAAAAATGGCTTTCCATGAAATGCAGCCAGGCTGGGACACTGCTCCCCTCCTGGCTGAGGGAGGCCTACGTGCCGAACCACCAGTGCTGCTGCCGGTGGGAGCTGGCCTCCAGGAGGGAGCCATTCCCAGTCATTTCCCAGCCTGGGGTGGCGCTTTCCTGGCGGCGGCCAGTGGATGACAGCAAAAAGAGGGATGGATGAAAACTGCTACATCATGTCAGCTGTGGTGTGGAGGTAATGGAAACCCTGAGTGCCTAGTAAAGCTTCAACACATGCTGGGAGGTATAGGAAGATCAAAGTCAGTTGACATCTGAATGAGGACAGGGAAGGAACAAGTTTGTGCAAGCTCCTGCCTGCCCTGTCTGGTGAGGCACGATTGAAAAGCACAAAACACTCATCAGTTTTCCCTCAAAATACTAAGAAAGCACAAAGAAGGATTCCTTTAACCTGAGCGAAAGTAAGTAAAGGAGAGAGGCCTGGAAAACGAAGCCAAAATTAACAAATGAAACTGAATATAACAGGAATAACAGCAATAAACAAACCCAGACAAGCAGTGGAGGAGGAATGAACACACTGTTAATCTGTCAAGTACACCGTGCCCACATCAAACTACAGAGTGAGCCCAGAGAAATACCCAGCCTCCTAGCTGAGCAAGGGCACCTGCTTGTTACCAAACAGCACACATCCCTTAAAAAGTCATACTCCTGGTAAGCCAGGGGAGGAGGAATTCAAGCACAGAACAGCTGTACTCATTCAAAATACTGCTAAGAGGAACAGCGGCATCTTATGAGTAAGCTGGATACGGCGCAACCAGCACCAGGCTTGAGCAAAAATAGCCCAGTGGAGATGAGAGGCAAGTAGAGACATCAGCACACAGCTCTCCTTCTGGCTCTCTGCAACTGAAGGGTGCAGAGGTGATCTCCTACAGAGCCTAGATTGAATAGAGGCAGGGGGACATTTCTACAGAAAAGCAAAGAGGGCTGGAAAACCAGAGAAGGAGCAGAGCAGCATTTCTGCTGCTCTAAAATGCACAGAGCTAACAGACCTTCCAGTGGCCACAGGGGAGGGCTGGAAGGGGATGGGAGCATTGCCATGGCTGGCCCTGATAAGGCTCTATCTAGGAACAGGAGAGGGCTGTGCAGCCGAGAAACGGGTCTGGAGGAGTGCGAGAACAACAGGATAACATCAGGCACTTCTGACACAGCTGAAGGACCGCCACTGGTCATCAGGAGACAAGTGAAGATGGGAGACTTTAAAGTGCTGCCAGGAAAAACAAGCTACAGCCAGGGTCGAGGAACATGGGATCCAACTCCTAGTTGTCAGCAATTGTGGTGTATACATTGCTGAAAACAGATGCAGTGCCAGGAAAATCCAACTCCCAGCATGAAAAGAATAACTTAGGAATGATAATGAGAGAAGCCAAAGCAACTGCGACTGTGAATTAGTGATTACATGAAAGTTTTTATCTTAAAGTTATGTTAGGCCAAATCCTGAAGTAATTTTTTCATCCAAGAGTACTCCCTCGAGAACCCTGTGATTTGGCCACAAATTGCTACATTAGAAAAAAACCCAAACCAAACAAACAGCCCCCCCCGCCCCCTCTGAAAAAAAAAGAAAAAAAAAGGCATAACAAAACTAAGATTTCTTTTTTATGCTGGCTGGACATACATAGCAGGCAATACTCTGACTGGCATTAAACACTTCTCCAGCAGGTAGCTGAAGTCCTCTGCTTCATGGCACCATCCAGCATCACCGTGAGGGACAGGCCAGTCATCAGGATTTGCTCCCTTATGTGGCTGCTACCCAGGGAAGTGGGAACTGTGGCTGTTTGTTATGAAGACAAGTACATGTTATTCAAGCTCCCTGAAACAAGTCAGGTACAATCCTCATCACAGTTCCTCCCACTTGGACCTATCAAAGCTACTCCTGAAAAACTGAACATACAGAAGCCTGGGTACTGCCATAAGGAAATGTAGCAATCATCACTGCCCACCATGTGCTGAACAGCAATAAAAATGTCTTTTAAAAATAGCTTATCTGGGAAAAAAATACCAATGCCTCAGTGGCAGGCTCAAAAGAACAGCAAAAGGATTCTCCCTATCCCATTCCCTGGGCATTACTGAGCTCAGCAGCAGCTCTGAGCTTCACACCTGGAGGACTCTGTGTAGTTTCAAACAGGGCATCTGCAAATCCCAGAGCCCAATAAGCCCCAAGGAGATGCAGCCACAGTGAAATACCTCTCACCTCCCAGAACCTCTCCCCATTCCAGTTGGAGATCATCACACACATGAAACTTCCCTACTCATTTTTTGGACTTGGCTTACCAGGAGTAATATGCTGCCAACCTGCAATTGCTAAGGAGGTATCAAAAATAACATGAGAAAGTGAATATTTGGAGCAGGAGACACACCCTTCCCATGACAGATGACCTGCTGTAAAAGCCCTCACAAAAGCAAGGGAATGTGCTCAAATACCTGTTGTAAAATCTGAAGCTTGAATGCTGTGCAGCCAAAAATCCTGGAAATAGTTCTTTCAAATAATGCAAACACTTTGGAGATTCTGAGAGAAGAAATAGCTGGAAATAGTTTTAGATAAAGAACCTTTCATGCCAGCTGGCAAAAGGATGGATCAGATAGATGGATAGATGGGGCTTAAAGCCACTTTTGTCTCAGCAGTGGGCTGGGCTTGTGTATGCAATGTCTAAGGCAGGATATCTCATTATCTGACCCTTAAATGTTAGCTTTATGAAATCATATCAGATGAAGCTGCAGCCTTCAAAAGCATCTCCCAGCTTGGCAGGACTCTCGCCTTCCTCCCAGCAGGCCTTGGGCTGCCCTGGTGCTCATGCACAGCCCTCAGGTTCTCCCCTGCTCCGAGCATCAGTCCAGGCTCTGACAAAGCTCAGGGAGGTTTGTTAGGGTGCAGGCAGTTTCACAAATACTCGGTCAAAACTCTTTGCTCCCATAGTGCAACAGCAGCAGGATGACCCCAGAGGGCGAGAAAAGAAGGATGCTGTGAAGGCTGAAGGGAAATCCCCCAAACCGTGTTTGATATGTTTAACAGAAACTCACTGAGAGCAGGATGTGATCCACACAAAACAAACCACAGTAAGCATTCTGTATTTTTCGTAGCCTGTGCAGCTTTGAGTAAAGGTGATGTTTAGTTTGAGCTGTACTTTTGATGCATGAATCTAAAGAGGCCAAACTGAGGCACCTCAGAAGGGGAATTACACCTTGCTTGGAGGGATGGGCTGAGGCACAGGTGTGCAGGAGCCCTTGCAGTTTGCTTAGAGCCAGACACCCTCTCCTCACGTGCTTTCCTCATTGTGTGACTACAATGGGGGTTAGGGCTGTCCCCAGCAGTGGCAGCTCATTGCCTGTGATGTTTGTCACAAATTGCAAGGACCACAGTCCCCACAGGCTCCCTCCAACATCTCATCCCCTGGGACTTCACTGCTTCACTGCCAGTGAGACATCCCAGTTCTGTGGATCACCAGCCAAAGCAAACCAGGGTCTCTGCAGCATCTCAACTGGTGTGAAGAGATTGCAAAAATCTGGAAAGATTAAAATAAGTACATGGACCAGGAAGAGTTTAACTTTCTTTTAGAAATGCATTTTTTGCTGTATTTGAACTATGCATCCCTGAAGATTTCATGTCAAAATGGAATTGTGCAATGAATATTAAATGTTTATCAAGAAATTCAGAGTTGAAAGTGGTCTGCAATGACAGATCAAAAAAGAAAATCCCCTCTGCACCATTTCTATCCCCATTTTTTATGACATATTAATTCATCCAGAAGGACTTTAATACTCACCTTTATAGATATTTTTGCTTTTCACATCAGACATTAAACTTTGCCATCTTGTTCAAGAAGACACTGAGTTACCACAGACACGGCAGGATTACACCATCAACATTGCAACATCGAAGGCCTGGCATGACTAATCCCCATGTAAATGGAAAAAGACCAAAGATGGGCAGTCTGTGCAGTGGGTAGGTGCAGAGCCAGACAGTCTCCTCCAGCCCACAGGGGCATGGGAAGCATGTCCCATCCACACAGGAACAGCCTTGAGTCTCTGCACCCTTTCCCTTGGGTGCCTTCATGGGGACAGTGGCACATGTGGCCCTGTGGCACAGCAGGGCTTGCCTCGTGGTTGCCCCCCTCACATCAGGAGAGTGGTTTAGGATAACTGGGTTGCTCCCAGGATGAATGGTGGATTCTTTGCTTTCATAAGCATGTTCATGGGAAAAATCCACCTTTGCATAAAGCATAAAACCACTTTTAACTGTGGTGTTTGAAAGACAAGCAAAACTGTCTTCCCTGTAGAAATGGCACGTGAGAGAGCACAGAGACTTTGTGGTCCATCTGAGAGAAGTAGCTGCCAGAAGAAGACATCACCAAGCTGGCTTCTCTTTCCTGTAGGCATCATCTTGTGATGATTCACAGAGTCCAGCTGAAAGGCATTGATGATGTGTCTGTATGATGCAACAGCAGAGCTGTGTCAGATCCAGCACCAGAGCACTACCTTCCAGAGTACGGACACTCATTTTTGTGCTTGGCAGGACAGTCTAACCAAAAACTTGTATGAAATTGGCCCAAACCTTTCCCTAGCAGAGAGCAGGAGTGGCTGATACAGGCTCCCACGAGGGTCACTGTGGGCTCCTGTCTCTCTCCATCTGAATTCATTAATTAGGGGGAGATGAAGGCAGGACTTGCTGTTTCGAGGGACTTGCCCTCACAGGGCAGCATTTCCTGTGGTTTCTGCCATTGAGCTGACAGCACAGGGACCAGAAACAAAAGATGTGAATTAAAAATAGAGAAAAAAGACCTGAATCTTTTGCAGGAATGAAACTTGACTATGGGTTGGCAAAACAGTTCATTGCAGCAATTTCTGAAGGTCATAGCATCATGAGGGGATAGCAATCAACAGCTGACAGCCAAAGGAAGCCCAGATGTTTAAGTTGTGTGTTGAGCAAATTTGATTGAGAAATCAGAGAAAGCACAGATTCTGTTATTCTACATTCAGATTATTTTTTAGGTGAAAAATGCACTTGAAGCTCTTTTTTGCAGCTTTGACCTGAGCAAACAGCAGTTGTTCAACTGTCAGAGTTGTGAGCTCCAGTGATTTATTCAACTCTCATGCTAGCTGGTATTTCTGACAGCTTGGAGACTCATGTGAATAAATCAGCATTTCAGCTATTATCAACCCAAGTTTCTACACATTCTGCTAAAAGAAAGGAAAATAAACTGGTCCTACAAATGTGTATACCAGGAGTCAGCCAAATCCCTCAGGCTGCTACCTGAGAAAACACAGTCTTTTTTTTTTAGTTGATGGTATGGTGTGGGACATAACAAGTCCTGTTTCTTACTGCCTGGAGTTACTTTTAGATGATAGCCTAGATTGTACCTCCAGATTGCACAGGCACACTTGGACTGTGCTGTTACATTGTCACAGGCTCCGGTGCCCACAGTACCTGCATTGTGACTCAGGGCAGCACCACGGGGCGTTGGAGGATCATCCACCACCTCTGGCATCCAGTCAAGCCTTGTGCAAACCTCCACCAGGATCAGCAGATGTGCCTGCTCTCGCTGCCTGTTGCTGGAAGCTGCAGGAGTCTCCAGGAAATGCCAGTCAGAAAGGGCTACAGGCAGCAACAAAGAAAAAACAAATCTCAGCCTTGCATATCGGAAGATATTTAGTACAAAGGAATATTTACAAGTCCTGCTTTGTGCTTTAGGCAGAGCATTTGATAAAAATGGTCTTCTCAGCCTCCTTTATTGGCAAAATGATGCACATCAGTTGGACTCTGGAAACAAAAGGTGACCAGTCTGATAGAACAGATGCCTGGTTCCTGAACAAGGGCCCTGACCCTCACTCCAGACCAAGTGTCTTGAGTGTTCGCCTGTAAGACTGAGGCCATTTACCAGTGCCTGTCAAAGCAAACAGAAAGGTCACCGCTGGCCACAGTAAGAGTTGGATCCAGGTGAAATGCTGCACCCAACTCAGTTTTCTACTGATTTTTCAAGAAAAAAATAACCTTTTACAAACCTTTGGAGAATGAAGGCTTTCACTTGTAGCTCCACTGACTTCACCATCCTGCCCCAACAACATAAACAAAGCAAATTACCTGAGACTTGTAGACTACCCTGGCCAGGACAGCACAGTATTCCTGTTTCCACATGAGAGGAAGTATTTCCTGGTTTGCAAGGTGTGGTCAGGCAAAAGGAAGAGCTCCTTTTCTTTAATTAATTTTGTTGCTATTTGTATCTGCACTTCTTTCATAGTTTCAGGTGCACAGGTTATCAGGAATATCTGCTGCAAGGCATAAGCACTGACAGTTCTCAATTCTGCCTTCCCCTGCCTTCTCTCCCAAAGTAAATCTGAGGCACTTTCCCACAGATGCTATTTTGATCACCAAAATATTAAACCTGCAAACTCGGGGTGGGGGTAAACCCTTTCAAATCAAGTGAATAAGCCAAGGGGAAAAAATAGACTCAGTCATTTTTCCTACCCATTTCATTAATGGCATTCCATTTCAGAAGGGGCACATGCAGAGCCAGCCTCACTGGGTGCCTGTGTACAGCCCAGCCCCTGCAGTGCCCCTCTCCTGCCCTGCCGTGCCCCTGCCAGGGACCAGGGCTGGCAGTGCCCAGGCAGGGCTGCGTGTGGGGCTGTGCTCCAGCCAAGTGTTTGAGCAGGCACGTACCCCAGTGAAAGGAGCAGGACTGGTTGTGCTTCGAGATAAGATTGTCTGCCAGGGCTTTGTTGGAGGCAGCCTTGCAGATGCAGGAAGGAAAACAAGCTGTAAAGATGGCAAAAGGAGAAGGGAAAAAATGCTTCAAGGGAAGCAGCACCAGCAGGAGACAAAGCAAAGGGCACAGTAAAGGCTGAGACAAACTTGCACAGCACAAGTCATGTCCTGCATTAAGAACTCCCCTCACTCGTGTGTTCTGCACCTCCCAGGACAGCCAGTGCTGGGGCAGGGTGCCAGGGACCTTGGCAGGAGGTGGTGCAGTCCACCCACACC